TACAAATTTCGTAATTTCATCTTTTCTTACTGCTGAGTAGAACTCCATCGTATAAATGAACCATATTTTCATTATCCACTCATCAGTTGAGGGGCACTTAGGTTGCTTCCATCTCTTAGCTATTGTGAAAAGAGCAGCAAACAAACATGGATATACAAGTGTCTCTGTGATGGGATGAGTTCTTTGGGCATATGCCAAGGAATAGTATAACTGGGTCAAATGGTAGGTTCATTTGTAGTTTTTTAAGAGTTCTCTACACTGCTTTCCATAGAGGTTGAACAAGTTTGCAGCCCCACCAGTGTGGATGAGTGTTCCCCTTTCCCCGCATCCTCTCCAACATTTGGTATCATTTGTTTTCTTGATCTTAGCCAATCTGATTAGGGTAAGGTGGAATCTTAAAATGGTTTTAATTTGCATTTCCCTAATTATTTAGGGATGTTGAGCATCTTGTAAGATGTTTCCTAGCCATCTTTACTTCTTCTTTTAAGAACTCTCTGTTCAGCTCCTTAGCCCATCTATTAATTGGGTTGCTTCTTGTCTTGGTTCTCTGTTTTCTGAGTTCATTATATATTCTGGATATTAAACCTCTGTCAGATGTGTTGTTGGTGAAGATTTTCTCCCATTCTTGGGTTTTCTGTTCGCTTCCCTTGTTGCGTCTTTTGCGGAAGCTTTTTAGTTTAATGAGGTCCCATTTGTTAATTCTTGCCCTTGTTTACTGAGCAATTGATGTCTGGTTTAGAAAATCCTTTCCTACACTTATATCTTGTAGGTTTTTCCCAAATGTTTTCTTCTAACAGTTTCAGAGTTTCAGGTTTTAAATTGGGGTCTTTGATCCATTTGGAACTGACTTTTGTGTCGGGTGAAAGATAGGGGTTTAGTTTCATTCTCCTACACGTGCAGATCCAGTTTTGCGAGCACCATTTGCTGAACATGCTGTCTTTCCTCCAGTAAATATTCTTGGTCCCCTTGTCAAATATCAGGTGGATGAAATTGCATTTACTCATATTTGGGTCTTCGGTTTTGTTCCATTGATCTATGGGTCTATTTTTGTGCCAGTACCATGTTGTTTTTATGACTACAGCTCTATATTACAGCTTAAAAGCTGGTATAGTAAGCCCCCCGGCATTGATCTTAGTGCTCAGGGTTGTTTTGGCTATCCGAGCGCTTTTGTGCTTCCATATGAATCTTAGGGTTGTTTTTCCTAATTCTTTGAAAAATGTCATGGGGATTTTGATCAGCATTGCATTGAATCTATAAATGACTTTTGGTAGGATGGTCATTTTTACAATATTAATTCTTCCAATCCATGAGCATGGGAGGTCCTTCCATCTTCTGATGTCTTCCTCACTGTAGAGGTCTTTAATGTTTTTGGTCAGGTTTATCCCGAGATATTTTATTGGGGGGGGGCGGGGCCAGAATCCAGGGCCTTGTGCATGTTATGGTAAGTGCTCCACTCCTGGGCTACACCCTCAGCCATAGGTGGGGTGGCGTGCCGAGAGTCCAGCGCCTGTTGGATGTTATTGGAAGCGCGCCACTCCGGGGCTCTACCCTCAGCCATAGGGAAATATTGTGTGTGTGTGTGTGTGTGTGTGTGTGTGTGTGTGTGTGTGTGTGTGTACTTTTTTTTTGTTTCCTTCAAGATTTAATTTTAATTTTTTTAATTAAAAAAATTTTTTTCTCGTCTCTTTCAGGGTCTCCTTATAGCCCCAGCTGGCCTGGACTCTATGTAGACCAGGCTTGCCTTAGTCTCACAGAGATCCACCTACCTCTGCCTCTCAAGTGCTGGGATTAAAGGCGTGCACTACCACGCACGGCTTCTGTTTTATGTGTATGAGTGTTTTGCCCAAATGCATATCAGTGCACCACATGTGTACAATGCCTTTGGAGACCAGAAGAAGGTGTCAGATCCCCTGGAACTGGAGTTAAGGATGATTTTTAGCCACTGTCTGGGTGCTAGGACCCAAACCCAGGTCTTCTGTAAATGCAGCAAGTGCTCTTAATCGCTGAGCTGTCTCTCTGGCCCCTGAACTAAAATTTTGAAATCCAGTGTGTATTTACATCGAGAGCACATCTGGATTGGGACTGGCCACTTCCTAGATCTAGGTTGTCACCTGTGGCTTGTGGCCACAGTATAGGACAATGCAGAGCCAGAGCCACACACAGCCCTTTTTATGGAAGTCCCTGGGTAAGCAGCACCAGCCACATGCCAGCTGTGAAGGGCCCTAGGTAGCCACATTCATCTGACCCTCTGCTGGTGTTCTGTTGAAGCTGGTCTTCTGTTGACCCGGGCTCTTGGGAGCCTCTTGTTGGGGGAAACCACTTCCCTCTGCTTTTCAAACTCCTGCAGACTCAGCACCACAGGCTACCCATTCAGCATACATTGTGGAGCCTACTTTGTGCTGGACTGTGCCCTGTAGAGGTGAGGGAGGAGGCCCCTGATGTCAGGGAGAGTTAGGAACCATCTAGTGAGCAGTGGTCTTGTAAGCAAAGGCTAATGAAGCAAATGTGAGCCTTAAAGTCAGAAGGGCCTTGGAGGAAGTATGAGTATGGCCAGGAATAGTAGTCAGTTGTTTTTAAAAGTTATTTATTTTGGGGGCTGGAGTGATGGCTCAGTGGCTAAGAGCACTGGTTTCTCTTGCAGAGAACCCTGGTTTGATTCCCAGCACCCACATGGTGGCTAAGAGCTGCCCATACCTCCAGCTCCAGGGGATCTGATGCCTTATTCTGACTGACCTCCACAGGCATTGCATGACACAGGTGCACTTATACACATGCAGGCAATACACTCATATACATTAAAAATAAAATATAGAAAATATTTTAAAAATACATTTATTTATTTTAAATATTGTATTTATTATTTTTATATGGCTACTGTCCTGGCTCTCTTGCCGCCCTTCTCTGTGACTTCTTTCCCTGTCTCTCTGTAGGGTTGGGCCAGAACACACCACAGCCCCAGGCCTTGCCTACAACAGATGAGGACGAGGGTGACAAGCTAGAGCCCAAACAGGTGGTCCTCATCGACAGCTCCTACCTGTGCCAGTTCTGCCCTAACAAGTTCAGCACATACTTCCAGCTCAAGTCTCACATGACCCAGCACAAGAATGAGCAGGTGGGTAGCCAGAGTGGAGGACAAGGTCACCCATTTCTGAGTGCTACTTGGAAAGGGATAGGTTAAGTCACCCTGGGGGCAGATCACAGAAACCTTTCACTTAACTGGCTTAAACAGAATTTTAGGAGTTCATCTTTTGACATAAGGGGAGGCTGAGCTAGAGAAGTTCCAGGCCTGAGATGTTAGATGCTCAGCTCAGCATCAAGGGCCTTGTGTCTCATCAGTACCAGTGCTGGTGGCTGCTATCCCAGGCGTGGCCTTGTCTTCCACTGTGCTCACCTTGTGCTTGTGGTCACTCCATCTTTTTTCTTTCTTTCTTTTTTTGGTCTTTTTGAGACAGGGTCTCCCTGTAGCCCTAGCTGGCCTGGAACTCACTATGTAGACCAGGCTGGCCTTGAACTCACAGAGATCAGCCTGCCTCTGCCTCCCGAGTGCTGGGATTAAAGGTGATTTCTTACATTTATTTATTGGGGTGGGGGACGTGCCACATGGTGTGGGTGAGGAAGTCAGAAGACAACTTTCAGTAGTTGTTCTCTCTTCCCAACATGTGAGTCTTGAGGATTAAACTCAGATTGTCAGGCTTAGTGGCAAGTGCCTTTACCCATGAGCTCTCTTGCTGGCCCTGTGGTCACTGTTATAGGAAACTCGGTCATAGTATGTCTTCATGAGCAATGGAAACCTTCCCTAGACGCATTCTCTACATCTCTTATGGGTCAGTCTCACTATGTAGCCCTGGCTGGCCTAGAACTCGCTGTATAAACTCACAGAGATCCTCCTGCCTCTGCCTCCTGAGTGCTGGGATTAAAGTCATTGCACTACCACATCTAGCTAGAAACGTTTTTTTTTTAGTACTTTGAAAATTCTGCTGGCAGTGTACACCTCAGGTGTCCACACAGTGCCAAACACTCCTTATTCCTAGGCAAATGAACTCCAATTTGCCCAGTGTAGCAATAGGCTGAGTTAAAGCACTTGATATCCTGACAGTCTTGCATCTAGTGCAGGCCATGTGATGCATTTCTTGGTCAGTGATAGCCAGGCAAAAGTCTTTGGGGACACCATCTCTCCCAAAGCAGAAAGGCAAAAGCTTGCTGAAAGGCATTCTTTTTTTTTTTTTTTTTTATCCTGACTGGAATACAAATGTGATAGATGGAGATATAGCAACTATTCTGCAACCTTGAGGGTGAATGCCACAAGCTAAGGATAGCAGAGTGGAGACTGAGAATCCTGGTCCATGAAGACTTATTTATCCTACTATATAAGCCCAACACCGCTAATTACAGGCTTATTTTCATCCGAGAGGAATAAAGCTATTTCCAGTTTTCTGTTTCTAACCATTAACCAGTTTTCTATTATTTGAAGTATAATAAAACTCTCTTAAATGACAAAAATACTGACTGTGGGGCTAGGGACATAGCTCAGTTGGTCACATGATTACCTAGCAGTCACAAAGCCCTGGATGTGATCCCTCACAGTTCATGTACCCAGTATGATACTGCACACTAAAATCCAAGCACTTGGGAGACAGAAGATGCAGGATCAAAAATTCAAAGTCATCCTTGACTGCATAGTGAGTTTGAGGCCAGCCTGGGATACATGAGGCCCTGCCTCAAAATAAAATAAAATAAAATAAAATAAAATAAAATAAAAAAGCACATTTCTTACAGGAATGAGGCTGGATATTAGTCAGAATGAAAAGTGAAAAGGATGACAGAGCCAGTTCCCCATTAATGTCCATAACCTTTGGGGCTATATTAGTCACTTTTCTGTTGCTGTGATAGAAACACTGACTCAAGCAATTTATAGAAGGAAGAGTTTATTTGAGCTTATGGTTCCAGGGGAATTACAGTCTGTCATGGCGGGGAGGCATGGTGGCTGGAGGCGGCTGGACCAGGAGCAGCAGAAGTGAAGCTCTCACATCATCACACAGGCACAGGAAGCAAGAGAGCGACTGGAGATCCAGCAAGGCTTAAGAACTCTCTAAGCCCACCCCCAGTGACATGCTTCCTCCAGCATAGCCACACCTTCTAAAACCTTCCAAAACAGTACCACCATATGGGGACAAAATGTCCAAATACTTGGAGCCTATGGGGGACATTTCCATTCAAACCATCACAAGGGTTATCTCTTCTACCTGACCAAAAACAGTCACGTTACGACCAGGGGTGTGGCTCAGGGATAGAGCACTTGCGTAGCATGTGCAAGGCCCTAGGTTCTATCCCCAGCACCACCAAAAAAATTAAAAAGTCATTTATCTTATATCAGTTAACATTAATCTTAAGAGTCTAGGTCCTAAATCAATATAGTCAAAACTAGCCACATCCCCAAAAGCAAGAGGACCTCTAGGCCAGGTTGTGGATAGTGGTTGTAAAGGGAGGTCCCCAGACCAGCAACATATGCACCATCTGATTATTTATTTTATTTTTTTTTATTTGAGTCAGGGTCTCCCTGTAGCCCCCGCTGGCCTAGAATTCCCTATGTAGACCAGGCTGGCCTGAACTCACAGAGAATTACCTGCTTCTGCCTCCTGAGTGCTTTGATGAAAGGTGTGTACCATGCCTGGTGAAGTAGGTGTTCTTAACCACTGAACCTTCAACCCCCAGTTTGTGATTTTGATGTTCACTCAGGTTTTTTCTTTTTTTTTTTTTTTTAAGACAGGTTCTCATGTAACCCAGGTTGGCCTTGGACTCACCATGTATCCAAGAATAATCTTGAGTTCTTGATCTTCCTGCCTCTTCCTCCCAAGTGCTGAGCTTGCAGGTATGCAACACTACATCCAGCTAATGACATCTACTCAAGTTTGAGAGCCACTCTACGACTCCCTGACACTGGATGAGTAGAGGGTCAGACCTGTATTTCCAGGTCTTAGATAATTTCTCTGTATACACCAGGTTGCACAGAGCCTGAGGGAAGGGTAACTGGATCAGAAGAGAACCCTGTAATCAGAATGAAGCCAGAAGCTGGGCTTGGTGCCACAAGCCTGTAATAACAGGTGCTGGGAGGCTTATGTAGGAGGATCACAGTTCAAGGCCTGACTAGGCTGCAGAGTGAGTTAAGACCAGCCTGGGCAACTTAGTATTTGTGTCAAAACAAACAGTAAAAAGAGAGCTGGAGATACAGTTCGGTGGTAGAGTGCTTGCCACAGGTGGGGGTGGCAGTAGAGGCAGCTCCCACCTCTCTCACCTCCCACTGTCTCCCCTCAAGGTATACAAGTGCGTGGTCAAAAGCTGTGCCCAGACCTTCCCCAAGCTCGATACGTTTCTAGAGCACATCAAAAGCCACCAGGAGGAGCTGAGCTACCGCTGCCACCTGTGCGGCAAGGACTTCCCCTCACTGTACGATCTTGGTGTGCACCAGTACTCCCACAGCCTGCTGCCGCAGCATAGCCCCAAGAAGGGCAGCACCGTCTACAAGTACGTGCCTCGGACTTTCTCCCCATGCCAGAATAGTGGACAGACAACCCTGGCTCAGACTACTCAGGACCAGGACATACCTCAAAGGGAAACTGAAGCTGAAGGCTTCAGTTCTGCAGGGATCCAGCCTTGCAGAGTGTTTTTGAGCATTGGCACCAATGAAAAAGATACTGGTTCTTAGATCATTCTTCAACTTAGTAGGAATTTATCATGGAAAAATAGCCTTGAAAAGGGAAACTAGGGGCCAGTGAGATGGCTCAGTGGGTAAAGGCTTGCTGCCAAGCCTGATGACCTGAATTTGGTCCCTTGGACCTCACATGGTAGAAGGAGAACTGACTCCCACAAGTTGCCCTCTGACTTCCACTGGCGTACACTCTCTCTCTCTCTCTCTCTCTCTCTCTCTCTCTCTCTCACACACACACACACACACACAATAAATTTTTTAAATGTGTAATTTGAAAAAATCTAGGGCTGGAAAGATGGCTTAGTGGTTAAGAATGCATACTGCTCTTGCAGAGGACCCGAGTTTGGTTCCTAGCACCCACTCTGGGAGGCTCAGAACTACCTGTAATTCCAGCACCAGGGGATCTGACACCCTCCTTTGTATTCCTCGAGCAGTTGCACCCACATGTCCACATGTCCACACAGACCCGTATACACCTAAGTAAAATATAATAAATCTTTTTTAAAAAGTTTAAAAAGAAAACTAATATTTTTCCCTGTTAGTAATAAAAAAACTATTTGATTTTTCCTTTTTTCTTTTTCTTTTCTTTCTTTTTTTTTTCTTTTTTTTTTTTTTGGTTTTTTTGAGACAGGGTCTCCCTGTAGCCCCAGCTGGCCTGGAACTTGCTATATAGACCAGGCTGGCCTCGAAGTCACAGAGATCTGCTGGCAGTGCCACCAATCCCAGCTAGTTGATTTTTTTTTTCTAAGCTAAAAAATTAGGAAACTATCTTATAATCAACAGAACCTAGGTTATAGTCAAAATAATGCACTGACTCTGAACAGAAATAAGCGAGCACATGTTGGAAAGCAAAAGTTCTAAAAAAAATCTTGCTTCTTTTTAATCTATATAAAATATAGGTTAAAGTTGAAACTGAGTTTTTTGTTTTGAGTCAGGGTCTCACTATATAGCCTTGACTGACCTGGAACTCACTAGGTAGATCAGGCTGGCCCTAAACTTGTGATCCTCCCATCTCTGCCTCCTGAGTGCTGGGATTCTACCTGTGAGTCACCATGCCTGGCTTGTCCAGTCTTAGACTGAACAAAGAACGAATCACCTGTAAACTTGGGGTGATGTTTTCAGTGGCCATCTGTTAGTCTCAATGTAGTCATGAAAAGGGTTGTGTTGTCAGAAATGAGATTCCACAAAGATCTTTAGCTCTTTCTCCCTGAAGCTATCACTCTGGTGGTCACCCTTGTAGCCCGGAATTTCCCCACCCTCTGCCAGACTTCCTCTGTAGAGGGTATTTCTACAGATGCTTACCATCAGTCCCTATGGTTTTCCCTCTGGGTTTTTAGCTGCCCCTTTGCCTTCTACTGACTGAGTGACTGTTTCTCAGCCAATCCCAAGCCCATGGGGACAGGAGGTGGTGTCTATCTGGGAAGCATACAATTGCCACAGGCCTCAGTTTCCTTACCTGTGATGTGGGATCCCAATAGTGCTTAGCCTATTGGACTTTTGGTCAGGATCTCTGTAGCCCAGGCTGGTCTAACTTACTGTGTACCCAAGGCTAACTCTTGAACTCCTCTTGCCTCTGCCTCTCAAGTGCTGGTATTGAAAGTATGTGCCACTATGCCTAGCCTTTTTTTTAAAATTTTTATTCTTTTTTGAGACTGGGTCTTGTATAGCCAAGGCTAGCCTTGAACTTATTATGTATCTGAAGACAAACTTGAATTTCTGATCCTCAAGTTTCTACCTTCTAAATGCTGAGATTACAGGCCTGCTCTACCACACCTGGTTTATTCAGTGTTGGGAATCAAACCAAGGTTGTCATGCATGCTAGAAAGCACTTTACCAGCTGAGCTTCATAGAAGTTTGAAGCCAGCTTGGGCTCTATGAGACCCTGTCTTAAAAAAAAAAAAAAGTTTATTGATTTTATTTTCTCCCTAGTTACAAAAGGCATCCCTGGTAAATACAGAGCAAAGGGGAAAAACTTTTAAGAATGGAGCCCAGCTGGGCACAGTGGCACATACCTTTAATCCTAGCACAAGGGAGGCAGAGGGAGAAAGATCTCTATGAGATCCAGGCCAGTCTGGTCTATATATCAAGTTCCGGGTGAGCTATGGTTACAGGGAAACCCTGTCTCAAAAAAATATATATAAAAAACCATTTTGTAATTATATGTATATATCCCAGGCTATTCTTAAACTCACTATGTACCCTAGAATTACCCTGAATTCCTGATCTTCCTGCCTCTACCCCTGAACCATTGAGATTATAGGCATTGCCCGTGATTTTCTGTCTACCCTGGGGGATAAGGGACTGCATGGGGCAAGGTGATTCTCTGGTTTCTCAGGAAACCAGAGAGGCTACTGCGCATGTCAGAGCAGTTAACTGAGGATACAATGACAGGTAAGAAGAATGGACACATTTCAGCGTGAATTAGATACATGAGGGATTTTGCCTCCTGATGTCACCCTGGGGAAGCATGGGAAGATCTCCACGCCTACTGGATGTCCCTCTCATCTATCCATTCCTTCCCACTTAGGTGTGTCAAATGTGTCAACAAATACTCCACCCCTGAGGCCCTGGAGCACCACGTACAGACTGCCACTCACAGCTTCCCCTGCCCACACTGCCAGAAGGTAGGTGCCACGTCATGTGCCCAGAGTGTAGGAGGCACTCAGAACATAAAACGGGATCCCAAGGCATTTGTGAAGGAAGCAGTTTATGGTATCTCTTTAGTCCCTGAGAGATAATTCTCTAAAGCAGGGTCTTGAACAAAAGAAAGCTTAGTGTATTAGGCCCCCATGGACAGCTCAGTTTCCTCTTCTTGTATATACAATGACACACATATCCTGATGGGTGCTCTGTGCTACAAGGTCATGACAGGCAGAACTGTGTACGTGTACTCAGGCACAGACCACACTGCATTCCTTTTTCTGTGTTATGGGTTGTTCCTACCATAAGAGGAGACCCTGAGAGGGGTGATGAGGTGGTGGATGAGCCCTCAAGACCTTTCTCCTCCCACTTCAGCCCAGCTCGGGGCTGACAGTGTCTGAGGGGCAGCCTCCTGCCTTCTCTGTGTTATCCCTATCCTTACCCGGGCTTCTTTGCAGTGACTCTGGAAGTACTCCTTGTAGCCTGTCCCCAGGGTCATCTAATATCCAGCAAGCATTCAGTTTCCACTGTCTTGAGTGTCGTCATTTTTAAAAATGTATTTATTTTTATTGTTTGTGTGTATGAGTGTACTGCCTGCATGTGTGTAAGTGTACCCATGTTGTACAGTACCCACAGAGGACAGAAGAAGGTGTTAGATCTGCTGGAGCTGGAGTTATGGACGGTTGTTAGCTGCCATGTGGGTGCTGGGATTCAAAACAGGTCTTCTGTAAGAACAACCAGTTCTCTTAACCACTGAGCCATCTCTCCAGCCCCCATAGTGTCATCATTTTTGTAAAGTTTATTTGAGTCAGGTCCAGAGTTGTGATCACCTGATACAGCAGAAGCTGCTGTTAATCCACAGGTGTCCCCTCACCCACTGCTTCTATTTTCCTTAATCTTTGAAAGAAACTAGGCCAGTGGTCCTGTGGCATTTCCTGAAGTCTGGGTTTTGCTGACTGCATCCCCTGACGTGTCTAATTTATTTCCTCTTCCTACACATTCCTAACATGGCAGGTTCTTTCAGTCCAGCTTGGATTTTACTTCATCTTCATTCTAGGTTTCTGGTTATACAGTTTAACTGGGGCTTTGGAATTTGAAGGTATGAACTGAACAAGAAGTCTGTGCCTGGTGCCTTTTACTTGAGCTGCCTCACTCAACCCTATGGTGCAGATCTCCTATTCCTATTCTACGGGTGAGGGGACCAAGGTGGAAAGGGCACCCAGTTAGGAAGTGATGGGGTTAAGCCCCTGACCACATCACTTTACCAGCTATGTGAAAAAATGAATGAGTGACTGAACGAATGCCCTTCCCAGTCCTCTGTTAGCGATTGTGGTGCCCGTTTCCTGGCTCTTTTATTATCCTTCCTAGTCACTTCTTTAGCTATTTGACTACTTTTTAATTCATTAATTAACTTGTCAGTCATTTCACCAGGCCAGTGCTGGGGAATGATAGGCGCCGTGTTTTCCCATGGGGTCCCATGTAAGCTAATGCTACAGTTCAGTGAGTTAATTGCTGACTTAAAACTTTGGGTGATCAAGAACTGGAGAGATGGCTCAGTGGTTAGGAGCACTGGCTGCTCTTGCAGAGGACCCAGGTTCGATTCCCAGCACCCACATTAGAACTAACAGCCCTCCTTAACTCTAGTTCCAGAGATTCCAGCGCCCTCTTCTGACATCCACAGGCATTGCATGACATGGGTGTACTTAACACATATGCTGGCAATACACTTATACAGATAAAATAATAATAAATAATAAATAATAAATAATAAATAAAATATTTTTTAAAACTTGGGGTGGTCATACAAAGGCAGGATTTGTTTTGTCTAGTATGACACCAGGTAGTCAAGAAATCTTCACAGAGGCACTGATACCTGAGTTGGGTCTTGAGGGAGGAATAGGGGTTTAGGATACCAAGAGAAAGCCCTCTGTGTAGGAAGAACAGCCTGGGCAGAAGCTCAGAGTGGATGGGAACTTAGGGAGCCAGGGGGTCCTGAGGGCTAGGTTGGTCACTCTGGGCCCTAGCCCCTGTGGGCAGAAAGCAAGGTGTTTCCATAGGGACTGGAAGCCAGGATCTCTGAGCTCAGAATGCTGAAGGTGGCAAGGGAAGGGCCTGTGAGGCTGACCTCACCTCTTCCTCCAGGTGTTTCCTTGTGAACGTTACCTACGGCGTCACCTGCCCACCCATGGCAGTGGTGGCCGGTTCAAGTGCCAGGTCTGCAAGAAGTTCTTCCGAAGGGAGCACTACCTCAAGCTGCATGCCCACATCCACTCAGGTGGGCACCCTGCCATGCCTACTCCTCCTGCCCCAGCCCTCCCTCTCTGGTCTGTGCCTTTGTCCCTCTTCTGTCCCCATTGGCTCTTCTCCCCTTCTCCCCTTCTCCCCCACATCCCTCTTCTTGTCTCCTTACTGATCTCCACTCACCTGTCCTCAGCTGTGAACAAGGGGTTCCCACCACCAGAGAGCACAAGGCAGGTGGGGGCACTTGACTCTGTCCCGAGTGTCAGCCCTGCCAGAGAAGTGTGGGGAGACCACCTTCCTGAACATTCCTATCCCCTCTACTTGGTTCCCAACTTGAGACATGGTAATATTTTATTTTCTTTTGATCTTCATTTTTTTGTTTGTTCGGTTTTGGTTTTTGACCCTCTTGCCTTCCCCTCCCAAGTGCTAAGATTGCAGGTCTGGGCTACTATGTCTGGATTCAGTTTTATTTATTTCTTTGTGCATATGTGTATGAGTGCACTTGCATGCATGTGCTTATTTGTGTGTGTGAATGTGAGCCTGGGCATGTGTCATGGCCTATATGTCGGGTCAGAGGACATCCTCGGGTATCAGTCTTCACTTCCTACCTTGTTTGAGAAGGGTCTGTTTGTTGTTTTGTTTATTTATTTATTTACTTTTTTTGTCTTTTTTTTTTGAGGCAGTGTCTCCCTGTAGCCCCAGCTGTCCTGGAACTCACTATGTAGACCAGGCTGGCCTTGAACTCACAGAGATCCACGTGCCTCTGCCTCCCGAGTGCTGGAATTAAAGGTGTGCGCCACCACACCCAGCCTATTTATTTATTTTTTAAAATATTTTATTTATATTTTTATTTTATGTGTATGAATGTATTGCCTGCATGTATGTGAGTACACCCATGTTGTGCAATGCCACGGAGGTCAGAAGAAGGCATTGGATTTCCCTGGAACTGGAGTTAAGGACGGTTCTTAGCCGCCATGTGGGTGCTGGGAATTGAACCTGGGTCCTCTGTAAGAGTACTGAGCTCTTAACCACTGAGCCATCGCTCCAGCCCCACTGTTTTGTTTATTTTATTTATTTATTTATTTTTTCTGTTGTTTCTTGCTGCTGTAGGCCAGGCTAGCTGGCTTGTGAGTATCTAAGGATTCTCCTGTCTCTTCCTCTCATCTTGCCTGAAACGTGGGATGCCATGTCTAGTTCTGGGGATTTGGACCCAGGTCCTCAGACTTACATAGCCATCACTTTATCCACTGAGCCATCTATCTCCCCATCTCAGGATTCAGTTTTATTTTTTAAGTAACTACTGGCTAGGAGTGGCACATACCTGTGATCCTAACTACTCAGGAGGCTGAGATGGGAGGATCCAGGAGTTTGAGACCAGCCTTGGCAACATAGCGAGAGTCTGTCTCAATGCAACATCAAACAAAAGCCAAATTCCTACAAGTTGTGATGTGCATATCATGTCACGGGTTTTTTGTTTGTTTTTTAGTCTTTTTAACAGGGTCTCCTGGTAGTCCCAGCTGGCCTGGAACACACTATGTAAACCAGGCTGGCCTCGAACTCACAGAGATCCACCTGCCTCTGCCTCCCAAGTGCTAGGATTAAAGGAGTGTGCCACCACACCTGGCACAGGTTTTTTTTTTTTTTTAATATTTTTATTTTATGTGCATGAGTGTCTTGCCTGCATGTATGTAAGTACACTATGTGTGTGCAGTTCCCCAGGAGGCCAGGAGAGGGTGTCAGATCCCCTGGAACAGGAGTTACAAATGGTTGTTAGCCACCATGTGGGTGCTAGGAATCAAACCTGGGTCCTCTGGAAGAACAGTAACTGTTCTTAACCACTGAGTCATCTTTCCAGCCCCCACTTTATAGTTTTAAATTCCTCCCAAACATAACTGCTTGTTGCTGTCTATTTCAGTGATTCTACTTTTGTTTTATGTATTTGGAGGTGGGGTGGCGGGGGTTCTCACTATGTAGCCCTGACTAGCCTATAACTTGCTATATAAATCAGGCTGACCTCAAACTCACAAAAATCTGCTTGCCTCTGCCTCCCAAGTACTGGAATTAAAGGCATGCTTCACCATATGTGTGTGGGTGCCCACTGAGGCCAGAAAAGAGTGTTAGATCCTGTGGAGCTGGAGTTACAGATAGTTGGGAGCTTCCCAGTGTGGGTGCTGGGAACCAAAATCTGGTCCTCTAGAAGAGCAGCAAGCACCTAACCACTGAGCCATCCCTCTAGCCCCTCTATTTTTATTTAATATCTGTTCAACATACTTTCTTTTATGCATAAATTAACTTTTTAAAAGTTTTATGTAAGGCCAGGCGGGGTGGTACACTCCTTTAATCCCAGCACTTGGTCTGCCTCCTGAGTGCTGGGATTAAAGGCGTGCGCCACCACACCCAGCCTATTTATTTATTTTTTAAAATAGTTCCAGGACAGCTGGGGCTACAGGGAGACTCTGTCTCAAAAAGCCAAAAACAAAAACAAAAACAAAAAAAAATGTTTTATGTAGCTGGGCACCTTTAATCCCAGCACTCTGGAGGCAGAGGCAGGTGGATCTCTATGAGTTCAAGTCCAGCCTGATCTACATAGTGAGTTCCAGGCTAGCTGGGGCTATAGGGAGACCCTGTCTCAAAAAGAACAACAAAAAAGTTTTGTGTGTATGAGTGTTTTGCCTGCATGTATGCATACCCACGTGTGTAATGCCTATAGAGGCCGAAAGAAGGCATCAAATACCCTGGAGGTAGAGTTCCACATGGTTGTTAGCTGCCATGAATCTGAGTCCTCTGCAAGAGCAGCCAATGCTCTTAACTGCTGACCCATTTCTAAAACTCTGAGGAGGAGAGCGATCCAGGAAGACCACCTCTAGCCTCCACACTCCACACAATAATGTAAGGATGTGTATATATACATACACACAAAACAGAAGCATGTATACTTGGGGCTTCTGAGGTATTATACTTTTGTTTTTTTTTAATAAAAAGGGGGCCTAACAACATAGGGATCTTTCTAGATCAGGAAACAGAAAATCACCTTAGTTTTTTTTTTTTTCTGCTAGCTTGTTGGAGACAGGAACTTTTTTTTTTTAATGGCTGGGAATTTGGAGGCTGGTCAGTGGGAAATCTGCCCAGACACACAACACTAGACCAGTACTATGATCCCAAGTTATTCTTCGGTTGCATGATGTTTGTGTGGTGGAGACAGGATCTTATTCTGTAGCTCAGTCTGGCCTCAAACTCATAATGATCTCCTTGCCTCAGCCTCCTAAGTGTTGGGATCACAGGGATGGGTTACCACATTACCTGACTTTGACCTTTTTTTTTTTAAATTTTATTTATTATTTTTATTTTATGTGTGTTCGTGTATTGCCTGCATGCAGGTAAGTGTATCCATGTTGTGCAGTGCCGGAGGAGGTCAGAAGAGGCTATCGGATCCCCTGGGACTGGAGTTAAGGACAGTTGTTAGCTGCCATGTGGGTGCTGGGATTTGAACCAGGGTCTTCTGCAAGAACAGTCAGTGTTCTTAACCACTGAGCCATCTCTCCAGCCCTGACTTTGATCTTAATGATTGCACAGCATTCTGTTCTGAGGACCAGCATTCCTTTAACCAACTGGGTTGATGAGTTTTCAAATTCTTTGTTCATTCCAGTGAGAGAACAGAGAGGAAATAGTGGAAGGAAATCATACCAGCTACAGGGTAGGCTCATCCACAGGAACTTAGTAGGCATTTTAGTGATGCACTGTGGGCTCCTCAGAGGACCCTGATACCATCAGCTGCTTCCTCAGGGGAGCCCTGGGGCAGCTCAGGTGGCTCTGTAGCATACAGGTAGATGGGAACTTAAGTATCCAGCCACATGTAGACCATGAACAAGTCACTTCACCTTGCTGAACTTTGTCCTCTCATCTGTAAGGTGTGGGTGAGGGGAGGGATAGTGGCTGGACTCAGACAAGGTACGACTCCCTGTCCCAGAGTGGACCCTGTTGCTATAGTGTCCTGACCTTCACTCCTGCTACTCAGGCCACTGCCTACACTCACACCGATTCCTCACTTCCTCTCACACACAGGTGAGGCCAGTGTACTGCATGGCTGTGCCCAGCCTTCCTTCAACCCCTTCTGTTGTTTGTACCAGTCTCTACCACCCTACACCCTCACCTCTAAATCTCTTCTTATAGCTGAAGTTTTTTAAAAATATTGTATTATTTTTATTTTATGTGTCACTGCAATACCTTTTAAAAGAACTTAGAAGTTTTCCTTTGTCTATTATATATTATATGTTAAATAACACTAAACAGATGAAGTAAATGTTCTTTTTTTTTAAATATTTTATTATTTTTATTTTATGTGTACGAGTGCATTGCCTGCATGTGTGTGAGTGCACCTGTGTCATGCAATGCTTTGGAGGTCAGAAGAGGGCTTCAGATTCCCCTGGAACTGGAGTTAAGGACGGTTCGTAGCCACCATGTGGGTGCTGGGAATTGAACCTGGGTCCTCTGCAAGAGCAATTGGTGCTCTTAACCGCTGAGCCATCTCTCCAGCTCCAAAGCTGAAGTTTTTAAGGTCAAGGCCAGGGCTCCGGCAGCCCCAACAGACTAGGCTCAACTACACATCCCCAGCATGCCGATTAAAGACAGGTAATAGTGAAAAGCCAATGTGGCCACATTGGGAAGAGGAGCAAATAAAGGGGTATAGTGACCCCAGTTCATCTTGACATGAGCTTTAGGTTTACATAGAAGCTGGGCAAGAGGCAAGGTATGTATAATTAAGCAGTCCTGGTCAAGGTGTGGTCCTGCCACCCCTGTCTCAGCTCTGGTTCTTCAGGGTGGTCTGAGGAAGCCCTTGTTGCTGTCATCACTTGAAGGCGTCAGTCTGGTACCTCCATATGATCATTTCTGCTGCAGGGTGTGGCTTTGCCATCATGGATTGTTGCTGTCACCTGAGTGCAGGGGTGTCCTATCAATAGGGTTTTGCTCTTCCTGGAAGCCAAGGTGACTGCAGACTTAGGACAATGACTCATCTCTGTGCCTTCAGCCAAAGTAAAGGAAACAGATAAATTCCAAACAAAGACAAAGTTGCAGGTTTTCATACTGCTTTTATTACTTTATGGGCTGCAAAGAGGCATCAAGGATTTTTAGCAGAAGCAGTTTCTAGGTTCATACTTCACCTCCATAGCCAAGATGGAGAGGATCTGGACCTTCAGTCACATCCCATCCCTTCTCTGCTCAGATCCTCTGGTGGGTTCTCATCTGGCTCAAAGTCAAAGCCAAAGTCCTCACCTTGACCTTCCAGGTCTCCCCAGTAAGGTTGGCTGCCCAGTTGAACTGACATCCCCTACCCCATTCTCCCTCAGGTCCTTTGGGCTGCCTCCATAACTCCCATTGTTTTTCAGGCACCTTGGCATGCCTGGGCCCCTCACCTGGATAGGCATGGGTGCTTGATGCCACCTCAGGTCCCTCTCAATATGTAGCCTTGTCTAGGAGCCCCTCTCACTCATCTATCAAAAATAGCCCTGGGGTCTAGTGAGATGGCTCAGTGGGTAAAGGAAGCCTAACAACCTGAGTTTGATCCCTGTGGTCCTCATGGTGGAAGGAGAGAACCAACTCTTTCCGGTTGTCTTCTGACCCCCACATTC